TCTTGTTGCAGCCAAACCTCAGAGATTCCCTCGTTTAGGTGCTTAGGATTTATAGGGTTAAGGATTTGTAGTCAATACGGCTCAACGACCCCAGATCTGGGTCGCTATCCGGACCGCGGCTGCAGAACAAAACCCACACTTTTCTCGAAGTGTTTTGTCGCCGAACCTTGTCGATGTAAGTGGCAAGTGTAAGTTCAGGGCGCCGACGATGGAAACAGTGCTCAAAAGTGTGCTGTGCTACGTAGACTCGACATATGCTATGGTAGGATTTGCGAATGTTACCTCTATGACACACCATGACCCCAAAGTATGCCTCGGGGAGTCTTGCTTATACATAAATATACACCGACCAAAACCCTAATGTAAACCCCTATTCATAGGTGCCAAGGATGATCTCTGTAACCTGCGAGAGAACCTTCCCCAAGCTCCAAAGACGAGCGAGCCTTCGTTAAGCCCACAACATCTCTCTGGGGGTTTACGTTGAGCCATTGTTCTGGGCAGGATGTTGGATGAACGCAGCTGGCATGCGGGGCTGCTCATTAGCGGATGCATCCCTAAATCCGGTAATCTAAACCCTGATGAGGGCGCAGCGACATCAGCGTCGCAAACGAGGACACGCTCCGTGAGACCTTTGGCAGCTAAACTAAAAATCCCAGGCTCCCGGTTAGTTAAGGGTTCAGGGCTTCGCGCAGCGCAACACAAAACCGTCAGGACAGCAAGGGGGGGGGAACGGCGGGGGGGGGGGGGGGGNNGGGGGGGGGGGAACAGGAGTCACTAGCACGCATACAGTCCTCCCAAAAGCCTGGCGGTCTACTGCAGAGAGCACGATAGCTAGTGGCAATATCACTATATGTAGACAGACTCGGTCTGATATACCCCGTCTTTCCCAAATAGTTAGAGGCTCGAAACTCGCCAGTCTCACATGTGGAACGAGATGCACGAGTATACATGGCTATCTACCTACACATATGGGTAAACATGATTGAATATATGTATGCATAAACATATATATATGTATGTTTCCTTTGCTTGTTCACTCTTCTTTACTTATTTGACCCTTACTACTTGCTCCGACTAGAAGTTGTGGCAAGCTCAAGCTTTCAAGAAGTTCTTGCCTTTCAGGCTTTGGGCTTAGCGCTTCGGAGTTTTGCGTTGAAGGTTCAGGGTACCTGCTGCTTCGAATTTAGACACAATTCAGCTCAAGGTTGAGAGGTTTTTGATCAGAGCAAGGTTCGGGCGGCCTAAATTAGTGCGGACATGATGGGCCAGTGCGGGCGCCCTAAACCCTAAA